TTGGGCTGTCTTCTACATCTTGAGTCCACTTTGTCTGTCTCTCCTACAACACCTGGCACCGTATCAAATGAATGTAAATTTCAGGAAGTGCTACTGTTCAGTATCTTGGAGATCTCTTAAAAAATATGGTCCATCAGACTTTTTCTTCTCACGTTGAAAATCCGTGAGGAATGAAAAATGGAAATAATCACGATCTTACAGAGTTTTAAAGGAAACTACAGGTATAATTGATTATTTCAAGTAAAATTCCTTTTATCTTGTAAGCCTTGTACATGTTACTGATCCATCGTATGTATTATGTGATGATATTCTTCTGGAACCCAGAGAGTCTCATCTGATCCTTTATTATTTCAGTTATTTTAAATGATTTCTCTTGAAATTAGTGCCCCAAAACATTTTAGTTCAGATAGAAATCCTCACCTTAGGAAAATTAAAAGACTGCAATAACAAGAGGATCATTAGATTACAGATCACTTAAAACGACTGGTTTGCAAAGTGACCATAATGTTATTGGTTCTTTCTTCTTACAGGCCTGGATTTGTGTAATACAAATTTTAATTTACAAATATTAATTTAGCTTGAAACATTAAATAACCATTTTCTTTTGTTTCCCACTTATGTCTAAAAATAAATACGTGAGAAACGATTATATGGTGGCTTTACTTAAAAAATAGTTAAATATGTGTCAGATATATAAGGATTCATTTCAATCTCCTACACCGTTTATAATCCTATTTCATATTTATAACACTATAAAGTATGTATGTTTAGAATAATGACTCCATGATTAGATGGATAGAGATAAACAGGTAAAATAATTCAGGAAAAAAATACTGAAGTTCTCTTATACACTAGACTTTATGTTAGGCTCTAGGAATACAAAATAAGTAAGACACAGTCTTATTCACACAGAGAAAGATATCCCAAAATGTCAGCCTAAGGAATAAGAGGAAAAGGATTATACAGACCACCCCAAGCTTTTGCCTGATGATGGACAGATATTTAAATGACGGATCGCCATGCAAAAGAATATCTCTTCTCCAGTCCTGCTATTTCTAGTACCAATATCATTGTGAAATGATTAAATACATTTGTATAGCAAGGGAGTATAAAATCAGAATGGGAAAACAATATTAAGGAGAAGAAACTGCAGATGGAATGAGTATCCAGAGTCTTCTATTAGTTAAAAATATGTAGTTAAGATTTCCATTCATATGTGTATGTTTCTGACATGATAATGCATCAACACAGAGTATGAAATTTGGATATTACTGTTTTTTAAACACCTTTGAAACTTTAGTAAACCTACTTTTCTGATCTTACTGTATAATCTAGAATGTTGAATATTCTAAATAATGAGAGTATCACGAGTAAGAGTTCCACTTATATGCTCTCATATACATTTAGAGCATTAATACTGGGTAGGTTATTATCAGTAATAGAAAATTCCCATGTCTTCATTTTAATTTTAGGTGAGAGGCATTATGGTTTTTCTCTTTTGATAACATTAAAGTTACTGTGAATTTTGAGGAATAAAAGTAAACCAATAGAGGGAAAATCTTTTCTATGAGCAGATGGCTTTTGGTATATCAAGATTTTGCCATTTGTTTTAGTGCTTAAAATAAACATTATTTATAAAACCACTTACATTTTGATGTTACTTAATGAGGAATATGCATCATTGATTTGACTAGCTTAAGAGGTCATTTAGAACTTGCCCGTTAACAAGCTGTAATGTGCTGAGCACACAATGACTTTGTTTAAAATTATCTATTCATAGCTGATCAATGACAATAATTGTTTTATACCAATCACTTCTGAAAGTTGCTAATTACTTTGAAGGACATGAATACTAGCCTTTCTTCTTCTTCTTTTTTTTTTTTTTGAAGTCATAACCCATTCACCTTGAAATTAAGAAATGTTACGGAAAAGCATCTTGCCTACTCAAAGAACTTTTTAATTAAAAAGTTTATTCACTAGTACTAGGATATCAACAGGAAATTTAGGTAAAATTGGAGATGTCCTTTGTTCTTCGAATAGAAAGGATAGTAGAGTCTCCACAGTATTCTATCTTATGTCAGTTAGTGATTGTTAAACTGGGCTCCTTACAATATAGGAAAATGGTACCTTCTAAATGAAAGAACACGTACACAGACTTTTCCATTTTAGGTAGTGCATCCATAAGATGTTTTAGTAAAAAGAGCCTGGGCCTATGCACAAGGTTATCATGAGAATTAGAGCAGTTAACATAATACCTGGAGAATTCATGAGCTCAATAAATTTTAGATCCTTCACTTCACTGGATGGCAGTGTCTTCACCAGTCCAGCAACCAGTTTCTACTTTTACCTACTACCGCTAACAAAGCCATTTAAAGATTGATTATAATTTAATGTGGATGACTTAACCATTACTTGCTCAGTATTTACTTTAATATCCAATTGTGAATAAAAGGATTTGTCTTGAAGGAGAATTTTAGCCTGCCTTGGAGTAGAGGTCTAGGGAGTTTGAATATTGGAAGATACCCTTAGAACATAGCAACTGTGGACAGTCTGGAAGTGTTTGGTGCTGATTCTAGTATTTGCCTGGTTTGAAAGTGGGAAGAAGCCCATGGCACTGGCTTCTTTAGGTATCCTTCCTATTGGCATTGATTTTTGATTCAATTTTATTTTTGTCCTTTCAGACTTCTTTTCTCAGAATGGGTACCCACCACTCTAGTGTGACCTAATTATAAATCAACAGCTTTCCTTTTTCCTTCTCAGTACTCCGGCATGCATCTTTTATATTTTCTGGCACATTTAATCTTATTTTATTTAGAATTTAATGATGTTTTCAGGTTATAATAGTTCCTTCCTTAACACTATTTGATATTCTAATATTTTCCCATTCTTCCTGAGTCACTTCTATTGCCGATGATGGATTTTGTGTCAGTACTATTGTTTGAAACTCTTCTCTTCTTTAATACAGTTATTACTGTACATACAATAAAAGTATGGTGAAATATTTGAAGCTATCCAACTCTCTGTATGACTGTAGGCAATCATTTAGCCTAGGAATCCATCTCCTCTTCTATCAAATGAAAGTAATAATAATCTTTACCTCAAAATAATACTGTAATGATTAAATTAGATGAGCCAGGAAAATATTCACTTATTTGCATGTATGATTTATATACTTATACATATTCCAACTGATTATTCTTTTTCATTAGGAAAGTGGTTTGTATCAATTCCTCATCTTTTGTTGTTGGCTCTGATATAATTTTGGTCAAATTAGAGGGACACAGTTTCTAAAATTAGCATATAACCTTAGAAAAATTGACTTTTCTTATTTCATGAATTTCTAAAATAAGATCATTTGAAAAATATTTGGAAAGACACCTTTTATACCATTTTTACACTAGGTTGCTGTTCTACTTGTTTGTTCTACTTTACTTTCTAGAATTATTATCTCTGATTCCATTGTTCTTAACAAGCTATGCTGCATGTCTTCAATTCTTGTAGTCATTCTCATACTGGGAGGTTGACTAAACCAGTTCTTCCGAACTTAAAATTTGCTGTATTGCAGGTTGTAAAATACCCTTTAAATGGTCATGTTTTAAAACACAGAAAAATACAGCATTCAAGTAAAACATTTTTCCTGTTTATTCTTATTGATCTTGCATTCAAATTATAAAAAAAAATTTTAAGCTCAACATATTTAGTTTAAAAAACGTAGACCTGGGGGATAAAACCCAATGGACAAATGTGGAGTATCTAAATTAATCACCCTTTCCTATTAAATAATGTTTAGCAGGTGTGTGTTCCTAGCTTAGCTGGCTGTGCAAAACATTGGAAGGACTTCATATCCAAAAAGACAGTCACTCATAAAATCTGAATAATTCAAAATTACATGTAAACTGCCGTAACATTTTTGGGAATGAGGCTAAGTATTCATGCAAGGCTAAGTTAATATTTTTCGTTTTTTCCTTTTTCTTCTTTCTCTCTCCTTTAAAGAAATTGAGGTGTTTTGGCTTGTTTATTTTTTTCCAAAAAATAAGATCTATGCATTATTATTTTTTTTGCTTTGAGTTTTTCCGATAGAGATTATCTTAGCAAAGATAAAACATAAGGAGGCTGATTCTCATGATTTCTAGAGCATACTAAGACATCGAGTAGCCCACTTAAGTGGTTTCTCTTAGAGCCCCCAAATATGCCTCTCATCTAAAAACAAACAAAAAACCCTAGGTACTTTCAACAGAAACGTTCATTTATTGACACTTGCATTCCAGTGTGTGCCCAGTCCTGTAAGGTAATGGTTTGGAGAATGGGCTCTGGCATCCTGGTGTAATTCCTAGACCCATCACCAATGGCCATGCAGTTATGGAGAAACTGTACAACTTCTCTTTTTAGCAGTTTCCTCATCTGTAAATAAGATAAGAATATTTCTCGTAAGAGTGCTCTAAAGACTAAATGGCCAAATAAAAGCAAAACTCTTAGAATAATGCCTCACATAAAATAAAAACTCAATAAATGGTAGTTGTCGTTACTGCTAAAGAACCATTGAAATGTCATGATGAAGATGTAAGATAACATTTTGTTTAAAGATTTTTGGAAATTTTAAAAGCCCATATGAAAATTGATTTCAGTGAGACCAAATACAATCTTCAAGCCAGTGGATTATGAAAAATTAAAAACTCCATTTGGTCAGGAAATAGAAGTGGTAGAGATTGATAAAGCAAATTTTTAATTGTTCAGTAGGTAATTTCACATATAGTGTTTATGAAAAATTATAAATATTTTAAACTACAATAACCAGTAAGTATGTTCTATTTCTTAATATTTTATAATAAATCTGAGTACAATTTCCATTTGCAACTACATATACTGTTATGTAAGTGGAAAAGCCTAAGACTTTATTTGATGTGAGATATCCTCCATCATTGCCTTGATTTTCAAGACCTAGTAATGTTTTCCCTAAAAATGTTCACGGGTATATTTTATCTTTGTGTTTACCTCAATAGATTCAGAAGCAATGGCGAGGCTATCGAATTCGGAAATACTGCTTTAATTATTTTTATTTGAGGCAGTACCTGAGAGCTGTTTCAGAGACCAATGATGCAATTAGGTGAGTGGTCTACTAGTGAAAATTTTAGAAAGGTTACTTAACAGATATTGATCATTACCATACTTCAAAATACTTGTTGGAACTCAGTGATATTTTAGGTAGAAATTTATTGATAAGATAGAGATGATGGTTCTACTTACCTTAAAAATTTATTGTTTTGATATTTGAAAATATATTGTACTCATGACTATAGATTATTTATGTGTACAGTAGGCCTATCTTGGTTTTATGCAAAATAGTTTCAGAAAAGTTAATTCATTTTGAGATGGATGTATCTGTAAAATGATTCCATAGATGAACATTTAAATATGATAAGGCTCAGATGTATTTTGAGGAATATGTTTAATAGCAAGAAATTAACCTCTCAAAGGAGAAAACACCATGGAGCATAATTAAAATGAACTGCTTTACTACTGTCAGCTTTTATTTCTTTGAACACATAGAAAGCACCTGGATTTAGGTCATAGGATGATGTCTTTTGTAGATTTATGCAAAGTAAAGCTATTGTAACACTATTCAATCAACTTTACCAAAGCTCTAAGTATTAGGTTTTCATATACCTTCAAACATAGTTTTTTCCTCTTGTAATATGCTCCATTCTAATAATGTATAGGTGACCATAGCTTATAATACTTTTAGATTAAAAAGGAAAGAATAACTAATAACAGTTGCAATTTGTGTAGTTGTTTTAACTTTTTTCATATGCATTATCTTCTTTTACTCTTAAAATTCTTTGAACTAGAGAGAACAGTGGCACAATAAATTGTTAAAATAAGATTTTGCCTGAGACCCTAACGCGATATATAAGAAATATCTAAAAACTGATTTTTCCAACTTTTAAATTGGGATATGTTGTGTATAGAAGAGGATCTGGTCTTTGGAGATTAAGTGTTGGCTCTTTGTGAAGTCGATTTCTTTGGAAAAAGCACTGAAGATTTGAGAGGATTGCATCAGGATTTGGTCAGTTGGAGAAGTTGGAAATCTCAGAAACGTGGGCCACAGCAGACTGCTACTTGATTCCAAAGTCCTGGAGATGGGGGGCTGGCTCTCTGCAAATGGCCGGCATGAGCCTGTCAGGGGAGAAGGAACTGGCAGAATATGCAGGAGAGGGAATTTGAGCGGGGCTGGGACTAAAATAAGACAAGTAAGGCTCTTAAGGCACAGAAATTGAAGAGGTGCTTCCCGGCAGGGTCGTGCAAGCGCCAACATTGTACTTTTACATCCAAGATGGCATCCTTAAATTTTACACTGGACAGGCCTCTCTTACTTCACCCTAGTCCCATTGCTGAGTAGGAGAAGGTCCTCGAAGAGACAAATAAGTGAAAGGCAGGTTTTGAAAAGGTCTGTGTTTTCTATTGGACAAGAAATCATTTCCATTCATCCTTATCTTCTCCCTGGTTTTACTGTCTATATTTTTAGTTACCAAGGATACCTGGTGTATCAGTACTGACAATTAGCTTTAGTCTGATATTCTTTACCATACTACAGACTTATTCTTTTTTCTACTTTAAGTGTTTTTAAGCTGGTTGTGGCAAATGCTTTTGCATTATCTGCTAATCTAATCATACATGTTGTTTTTCCTTTCTGACTTATTGACATGTTATAAAATGCATTTTTCTTAAATAAATAAAATTGTTGGCCAGTTAGTTACAGGGTACCTTACTGATGTAATTTACGTGATACAATACGGCTCTCAAAGCCCCTTCCCTTCCTTAGGGGGGTCTGCCATGAAAACAACATAGAGGTTGAGAGATTCTCACATACTAGGGGATGAGCTGGGACAAAGACTCCCTGACAGTTGAAAGACTGTCTCGCCCAATTGTGCTCTCTCTAGGGCTTGTGGTCCAGAGGACTCTTGTTCCATGGAGGCCACATGGACCATAATGTTCACTATCTGGTTGCTATAGCCAAATTCATTACTGTACCAGAAAATGAGTTCGACAAAGTGATCACTGAGGGCAATGCCAGCCCCAGCATCAAAGGTGGAAAAGTGAGTGTCATAGTTAAAGTTGCAGGAGACAGCCTAGTCCTCATTGTAGCCCAGATGCCCTTGAGGAGGCCTTCAGATACCTTCTTGATGTCATTGTATTTGCATTCTCCAGAAGACAGGTTAGATACATGACTGACAGGAGTGAGGACACAGAAGGCCATGCCAATGAGCATCCCATTCAGCTCTGGATTGGCCTTACCCACAATCTTGGCAGAGCCAGTAGAAGCAGGGATAATGTTCTGGGCAGATCCTTGACCATTACACCACAGCTTCCCAGAGGGGCCACCTACAGTCTTCTGGGTGCTAGTGACAACATAGACTGTAGTCATGAATTATTCCACAGTGCCATGGATGACCTTGGCCGGAGGGTCACACAGTTGGTGGTGCAGGAGGCATTGCTGACATATTTATCGTAGTTCATGCCAATCACAAACATGGGGGCATCAGCAGAGAAAATGACTCTCTTAGCTAAACCCTTCAAGCTCAGCCTTCTCCACAGTAGTGAAGATATTACTATGCAGTAGTGGGCCCTACAATGTATTTAGCACCAGCATCACCTCATTTGATGTTGGCAGGATCTTGTTCCTGGAAGATAGAGATTGGGCTTTTTCTATTGATGACAAGTTTCTCAGTCTCTGTCTTGGCTGTGCCACTGAATATGCCATGGGTGGAATCATACTGGAACAGGTAGATCATGTAGGTTAAAGTCAATGAAGGGGTCATTGATGGCAACAGTATCCACTTTGCCAGAGTTAAAAGCAGCCCTATGGCCAGGCACCCACTATGGGCAAATCTGTTCACTCTGACCTTCCCCATTGCATCTCAGGGACGTGAATGGCCCTGCACAAGAAGGTGGAGCGGTTTGTTGAACTGGGAGGAACAGAGGAGATATACTAATATTAAGCCATCATTGTGTGCTAGGAATATCTCTAAGCCATTGTTATTTCTTTTGATTTATTAGTAACTATATCAATATTTTATATAGGATACTTACATTCACTTTTGTATGTATGATTAGTTATAATTTCCTTTCTTGTATTATAATTTACAGGTATTGTTATCAGGGTTTTGCTCTATTTATCAGATTAACTGAGTGATCATATGGTATGGTGATTGAAAAGGAAAAAGGCTACTCTGTTTTCCGTGTACTCAATGCTCAATACTTGTACTCACTAAATGTGTGGGCTTTGCATGCCAGGCAATCTCAGGTACCAGTTAAGTATCCTACAATGTGACTCCGTTCTAAAACTAGTTATCTGGTGATGTCATCAGTTCCTACAGATGAAGGGCTCAGTCCCATAAGAGTGTCTCACTCCCCATCCCCACCCAAACTGCAGATGTCAGTCGCAAATGGTATGTTCCCAGGTGACCTATAACTGCTGTCCAACTTCGCTACAAATCAGAGATTCATAGGACCTCCTCCTGAAGATCAGTCATTTGCTAGAACCACTCAAGAGCTCAGGAAAACAGTTTATTTACTGGAATGCTGGCTTATTATAAAAGAACACAACTCAGAAACAGTCAGGTGGAAGGGATTGCATAATGCAAAGGACCGGTCATCCCCCTGGTACCTCCATGTGTTCAGCGACCCAGAAAAATCTCTGAATTCTATAAAGAAAGAAAATTTCATGGAACCTTCCTTAGGTAAATATGATTGATTAAATCTTTGACCACTAATGATCAACTCAACTTCTAATGTCTCCCCTCCTCAGAGGCAGAGGGGCGGAGCTAAAAGTCCCAATCTTCTAATCACATGATTGGTTCCTCTGGTAGCTCGCCCTCATCCTCATTAGCATGCATTAGTCATCTCACAAACATGCAAAAAGACACCACTTTGAGGAAGTTTCTAGGGTTTTGGAATGGGGTTTGGGGGAAGGGCCGAAAGAGTGCTCTGTGGGTGCTAGGAGGTCTCCTTGGCCCAGAGGATAGCCCCGCAGGTAACATGCATGTGTCTCCATGAATGTGAACTGGTTTCGCTTTTGTTGTTTGCTTGACAGTGATTGGCAGTTGCAGGACAGCTTATTTTTTTATGCTTTCCTCTCTCTCAGAGGTCTGCAGCAAAGACAGCATTCTTGTGCATTTCCTCATTTCGTCCTACGTTCTCTGCCACTCCTGGGGGATGGTTCGGGAAAACTGACACAGTCAAGTTTTGCTCTACAGTCTTATTCTGAGCAAGGAGGGCATTCCTGGTTTTTTTCCTCAGGTTATGCCACCTATCTTTACGAATTTTGCACCTGGAAGTCCTGGGCTCAAATCTGCATCTTGAGGTATCTTATCTCCATGGCATCTCTAATCCTGGTGGAATTTCCACTCCTCTTGGTGGCCCTTCTTCTTATGTATCACGCTTAAGTGTTTCTCATTTTACCGATGACAGGGTTTCCTTTTCTTTTCTTTTAAGTAATTTCTTTTTTTTTTTTTGTAATTTTTTAATGTTTTATCTATTTCTGAGAGAGAGACAGAGACAATGTGAGCAGGGGAGGGTCAGAGAGAGAGGGGATATGGAATCTGAAGCAGGCTTCAGGTTCTGAGCTAGCTGCCAGCACAGGGCCCAACGCAGGGCTCGAACCCACTTACCATGAGATCATGACCTGAGCTGAAATCAGATGCTTAACCAACTGAGCCACCCAGTCGCCCCTCCTTTTATTTTCTTATTGCCTTTCTTTTTCTACAGAAGGTTAAGAGTGGAAGGGGTAGAGATAAATTTTCTCCACTATCTCAAAATTAGAAATATATTGTTAACTTTCTAATATAAATCACAATTTGTTTTCCTTTCTGTTACATAAGAGTTTTATAAATATAAGGAAAGCATGCTACAGGGTACCACAGAGGAAGCACACAAGAGGAACATCTATGGCAAAAGTGACTAGTGTGGGTCAGAGTAGGAAGGGGATCCTAGAGGCGAGGGACATTTCTCAGAGGCTGTGAAGCTGAACCCTGAAGGTTGTGCAGAAATTAGGACAATAGCACGGGAAATCTCACTGAGGTTGACACATGGAAGACAATAGAAAGA